CCTACTCGGTTTCATGGTCCTCAAGTTAACTGTCTAGGAGGCAACTATCTCGCAGCCTACCGCTTCTCACAGCCCTTACAGAAACGGTCACAGTACCAGGATGAGAGGGTTAGGCCCTCGATTCGCAGCATTCATCAGTCAACGAATAACGCGACTCTATCTACCTGCCCAAAACTCATGTTAACTTCCGATGGCGGCTCACAAGGCGAACAGGCGACTGCTAGCAATGGCGCTGCGCTCTACATAGGGCATGGTGATCGGCGGCCCGATCATGTAGCCGTTTTAGCACCTGAAGCTCAGCCTGAAAGGACCGATAACGAGGCTCCCTGCATGGGCCTTGATGGAGCGAACGAATCTACCGATGAATCCGCGAAGTTGACTATCCTAGGCGGCGGCTGACTCGAGAATCTCGAGTCGAGATTAACCGAATGGTCTTTCCCAATGGGAGATTGATAAGGAAGAACTTCGACAGCCTAAGGAACGTGCTGAGAACACCATCGACGGGCCGCTAGGTCGCATAGAAATGACTTGGAAACACACATTGCGATACAATAACAACTCGCTATCTTCGGATCACGGCAGCCGGCTCACATCGACGAAATAACATCACACTGAGCCTTGGTGATGGAGGTCTAGTACCTGAATGAGCATCGTTGTCTACGAGTCGCAAACAATTCCCTTTATTCCGCTTACGATCACTTTTCTAGCACTGTGGTGCGTCTGTATGCTGTTGCCAGTCGATTAGGGTGGAGTTATAGCAGGGGGCTTGAGTGGAAGTCTGATATGATCATAACTACAGAAAAGTGAGGTTAGTAAGATATCAATAATAAGTAAAGCGAAGATATGAATCATATCATATGATGGCGCACCGCCAGTACTCGTGAGTAGCCTATCTAACCGATGGTTGTGCTTTCGTTCTGGGAGAGTGATCGATTTAGCCGATGTGTGCCTCTGCCGGACCTCTTTTGTATCTTGCTTGCACCAACCTAGGATACAGAAAGATACGCGCGGCGTATCTTGAGGTCCGAATCCGGCCCATCGACGGGCAAATCGATCATCCAGATTCCAACAATCCGAAATCTAATTTCAGATTATCACTTCGTTTTAGAACTTCCAAACCCTCATGCCGTACAGTCCTCGAGCATCGGAGCTTGATGTATGGACTCTAAGCCAGGAGCTCGTCCAGGGCTTGACTATTGCCGCGCTCATCTTCGCTCTCATGTAAGGTCGACATCGATGGTGGCGTCAGGCTCGTGTTCCCCTTAGCATCGTTCTGCTAGTTTGTTCCGATCGGCTGTCCGACGCTCTTCAAGTCGACTCGAGGCCCGCCGCCGACCAATCTGTGAAGCCAAGACCGAAGTCATTCCGTAGACCTCTCGCAAGGCCAGTTCATGAGACTTGACTCACAGTGCCCCCCATCATTTAAGTCGAGTTACCTGAGGGATGGTCGTCGCTGATGGCAGCTTCCCCCAGGAGGTGACCCATGCTCGCCCTCACGATATTAGGATCCGTGATTCCTGCCGTCTCGTCTGCCATTGTGCCGCTGTATAGTGCATACAGCTGCCTGGAAGATCGCGCATCTCGCTTGCTCCCAGTCCTCCGGAGGAACTTCAAAGCGATGCGGTCTTCGTCATTAGTTCAGGAACCTCTGGAATTGACGAACTTCTTCAACGCTGAGTTCTATGGGAATATAAAGATTGGAACTCCAGGGCAGACCTTCAAGGGTTAGTTATTGGTCTCGTTCGGTTGCTGTGAATGTGTGTTCTTCTCTCAGTCGTGTATGACACGGGATCTTCCACACTGTGGGTACCTGGACGAAGGTGTCGCAGCGCTGCTTGTCGACGCCACAAGGTAGAAGCTCTCATGGCAATCCCGAAGAGCATAGCTGGGTTGTTCTCAGCGCTTTGTCGAGTCGCTGTCGACCACCGCGCACCTCGTGCATAGTATGCGCAGCAGTGACGATTCCAAATTGGTAAGGCGCTCCAATATTGAGCCCTATCTCACGTGGTTTCATCAGTTTCCGATTCGTTATGGTACTGGCAATGTCAAGCTTCAGCGTGAAACTGACAAGATTGAGGTGAGTTTCAGTAGACGATCATCCTCAGAGTTCTCTGGTCAGATTGACAATGTAACAATGAGGGAAGTGACCTTCGGCGTTAGTGTGGGAGAGAGTCGCTTCCCGTTTGCTATGTCGCCAGCGGACGGTATATGCGGGTGAAGTCACTGACAAGGAGACGGCGGGAGCGTCAGCCATTTGATTTCAGATTGGGCTTCACCCTACCCATAGATCCGTTCGGCCCATCTCTGATCGACTCCTGCGACCAGCTGCACATTCTGGGCTTTTACCACTCTTTTAATCCTCGGTTTCATGGGTCTCTGTCAGTTGGAAGTGTTGAACACGGTCGAATAGCCAGTGGCCATGCAATCATGTGGAGTCCAGTGGAGAAAGCGCATCATTCAGGACGCCAGGTCTAGTGAAGTGTGTTCCGCTGAAGAGATCGCTTGTGCGTTCCAGGAATGGGTTATTCCCATGATTGACATAGCCGTTGATGGTCGTCGGCTTCACCTGTGCAATGACACTTGTTCGGCCCTGGTTGATACTGGGACGAGCCTCGTCGTTGGCCCGGTGCACAGCAGCATTGAGCTCATGGGTGCTCTTGAGACGGACGACTGTAGAGGGCCTAATGTAGTTCAGAAGTCTGCCTCTTGTTACAGCGACCCTGCTTGTGCTGGTGTCAATGAACGGTGTTCAGGTTACCATATTCCTCCAGGGTGAATCCGCAGGGAGTGTCCACGAAATATCGCTGTCGGCGGAGCAGTATTATATAACCAACAGCAGTGTGGACTGTGAGCCAGGTTTCGCTGGAGTGAAGATGTTCGACAGTAGAGGTAGACCTGAGAATCCTGGCCCTCCGCTCCTGATGGTGGCGCCTTATTGTCAGATTTGTGGATACTAGGCAGTACACTCTTGAGAAGCTATTACGCGGTTTTCGATCGGGGTGAGACAACTATGGGATATGACATAACTGTTGGACGGCAAGATATTTCTTACAGCACGGATGAGGATCGGCCTAGCCCCGAGTCAACATGATGCAACATCATGAGATTAACATGACCTTTCTCTCTCTCGATTATCCTCTTGTGTTATCATGCACTTGGGTGGAGTGTCATGTCTCATTTTCGTATTCGTCATTAAGTTAGCGGCCTGTGTACGCGAGAGCTCCGGTATGAGCCTGGAGCCGTCCTCCGACTAGGGATATTATCAGGTTTTCTGACTTACCCCATTGGCTCAGACCCAGGCACGAGAGCTTCGATGCGAGCGTGATTTGGTGTAATCACCCGACTTGATTTGAAACTCAAAGAACATTGGTAACCACAAACCTCTGGATATTGCGAATAAGGTCCTCCCGGCAACTAGTCACTCCACATTGTGAATCTTGGTAATCATCTCAGTGCTGTTGCCATTGATGACTGGTGGTAGAAGTGTCGTTGAAGCCGAAGAAGTCAGACTATCGAGGGGATAGTTTTGACCTGTCGATACTATCAACTCGATAAAGGCGATCTAATTTCGGGTGTGAAGCTAGGCTTGCGAAAGAGAAGAAATGGTGTTCTTCCAACCGGGGTCTAATCTCATCTGATACTAGCAGTCGGGGGGCTGTATTTCTCATAAGCGATAGAGTCGTTCATTCCAAGTTTGTTCGGTGGTCACATATTTCAGAAGTTCCGTACTCGGTCGAACAACGCGGGACTCTCCACAGGGAGGACATAGTTACGGATGATTTCTACACCTTTCTGAACATGATTTCTAGATCTACTAGTGGTAAATAAACCCCAATACATCGTAGTTAGTGCGATGGTCATTGTTGTTCGGTAGGTTGAGCATCCGAGGCAGTGGCCACCGATCATGAGCATAGGTGAGCCCAACACAACCGAATACTATCCTCTCGCAGCCAAACACACCAGTTTGGACACTCCCGGTACTAGGCCGAGTAAACTGGCCCATCGAACTCAAAACAATCAACTGTGGAATGACAAAAATATGGTCTCCGCCAAGCGGCGAGCTTCAAGTGGTCGAACACATCACACGAAATGGGTCATCTGAGTACTAACTGCTTTATATAAACAATTGTACATCGAGGCTACTCGAGGGAGCTAAACTGAGGTATGTCGCGGCCACTGAACTACAGTGATACTTACAGCCGCATTATAGTTAATTCGATGAAGGACAGTAGCTCAGAGCAGAATCTACAACCGCAGAAATGAATCACAATCTTGTTGAGCCCGTCGCAGTCAGAGCATAGAGCTACAATGACTGTGCACCACCAGCCAACATATTCTCAGTCAGGATGAAGGTATCGTTTCCCTCTGTTGGTACCGTGGTCTCTTCAGACACCTCATTCCTGTCAACGACCAAGTGAGGATTCTGGCCGAACCCATTGCGGACTCACCTAGGTTTCCTTGTGCTTATCCTGAAAACCGTTCTTCCAGCTTGAAGTGTCAATATTGACCCTCCCGCATCGGCCACATCGTCGCCTGAAACGAACTGCCGTTCTGCAAAAACAAAACCGGGCGCGTTCGATTTGATGCTCCCATAAAGAGCATCTTTCACAAGCAACGGCGTGGTATTCGGGCAAACTGAAGTGCCCAAGGCTTTGCCCCTGGGCGGTCGAACATGGGAGAGGAACGCCCAATGCAGAGGGAAACAGTACCGCAAGATAATCATACACTAACGGACCTGTTGAGGCATTGACCAGTTTCGGACGCCGCATTGCCACAAGCGTTCCGAACTTCGAATTATGGTCTTCTAGAATAAATCTTCCATCGTCCGCGAGCGAAACCGTCGCGTGCCAACGAGATATCGAAACCTGCATCGTGGCTGTCAATTTCTGACGTTGCGAAGAGACAATAATCCTACATCAGCTATTCTCACGTCGCTCTCGTGGCCTCTACCAAGCTTCAGTGCCTTCTTACCCGCGAGGGAGATAACGTAGACACCCTTGGAGTGCATAGAGGACTGACCGTTCATACCTGAAGTACCGCACTTGTACGCAGCTGCCCAAT